ACACACAGGTAGGTTGACAGACCTATATTGACAGCAGCTAACGAATGGCTATTTAACCACAACAATCAAAAACAGTGGTACAAGTAGGTTGATAACTGCTGCTATGATGATAATACAAAATATTATTATCATTAGTTATCATATTTTTCTACTATCTATGTTCTACATTCAACAAGTAACAGCACAGTACAACAGATCATTATTATGCTATTTGAAAATTATAATTTTTAGTTTTTATAGGTAGTAAATAATAGCTTTAAAATTTGGCTTACAATCTCATAAGTGCATACATCAACAACTTTATTAATAAAAAAATAATGCAATAAAGCGGACTGTGTTTAAATGATTAAGTTGTCTAATGACTAGATGTTTATAAACAGTGTTTTAGAAACCTACAACAAAATCACAGTTAAGTTTGAAATTGTATTAATTATCAACTTAATTTAAGCCGGTAGTTCCAAACTGTGATTCAAAGTACTTTTACTTTTTTTTCTGTTTTCCCCATCCTGTTGGCAAAAAAGATTTGATTTTTTCTGTAACGGTAAATTTTTCAACATCATTGATATTTCATTTTTTTTTAAGTCAAGTTATTTCTTATTAAGATCCCGTTAATAAAAATATGGATCAATAGTTTGTGACTCAATTACACAAAATCACACAGTGATACTCAAACTTCAGAAATAAAGTTAGGGTTTGTGTCACGCAAACATTAAATTATCAGAACTTGTCTTTTTTATTTTATTAATAACTATTAAATTAAATAGTTTATATGTTTCTAATCTTTTTATTAGTACTTACTAATTATTATTATAACTTATAAGGTGTATAATGTTATAATAATAGTAGTTCTAAAGCCTTTATAATAAAATATGTCTGTTTCAAAAATTTCAAATTGAAAAGTTAATTCTTTTACAGTTGAATCTGCTTATTTTGATTTTATGTAAAATCAGTATTTTCTTATTTTTATTATTTTCTTCACTATTTAATATCTAGAAAATTAAAAGCTTAATAGATTTTAGTTGTTTGAAAAGAAAACCATTATTTGATATTTCCTTGTTTACTATACAAATTAAAGTATTGGCATTATTAAACTATTTTAACGGGTACGTTTTACTAAGATTATGTAAAAGTGGCAATATTAAATCAAAAATAGCCTTAGCTAAATTGTATTATCTAAATTTAACAATTATTCTGTAATAAAACACATTTTTAAGGATTTAAATTTTATGGAATTTGTACGCGACAAGTTTGTCTGATTTTATACACACACATACATGTATACTATATTTATGTATAAATACAAATAATTATAAAATCAATTATACTAACTTATAATGCATAGTTGTTAAAAATACAATTTGTTTACCTTTAATGATGCAAATAATGGTTAAAAGAATATTTGCTGTAATGCGTATGCGACAATTTTCCTACTTTAAAGAATTAAAAAACAATTTTTATTAATTTTTACTGTGTACTTTACAAAATTTGAACATTGATAACACATAGTCAAACAATTGTGTTGATAAATTTCAACGACAAATATATAGTATAGTATAACATTTAAAGAACAATAATAATCTTTTGTCTGATAATATAAGTATTTAACTAATAAAATATTCATAAACTAATTATTAATACAACAATAAATTTAAAAATTACAAATGCTGCTATTTTGAAAATATTCAATCAAAAATATTAAACAAAAACAATATCTATACATTTGAAATTGTTCAACTTCTATAATACTGATTTAAATTTTTTTCTTTTAACAATCGTTGGTAATTAAACAAATCTAACAAAATCAAAATTCAATAAATAAAATTAACTATAAGAATTATCTTAGGCAAGTTCAAAAAAATAACTTACTTGATTTACTGAATTCATTAAATACAAATTAATAGAATTACTACTTTTTTAAAGAGAGAATTATTGTATATTAATAAATTTGATATAAAATTTAACTTTGATAGCCAAATACCTGTGTCAGTTATAGCTAAAACTTTATGATAAAATATCCGTAATGTTTGTCAGACACACAATATATGGGTTATATCATTGTAAGAAATAACTAAACTGAAAGCAGCTTTTAACTACCTTAGATAAGTTTAATCAAATAAAAATAATATACTTATATATTATTATAAATATTGGTATAATCAAGAAGCGATTCCTTGTATGTAGTAGTATGAAATTCATACATTAATTACTGATATTTTTAAAAATAAATGAAACGGGTATATGAGTATTATCAACCCACGTACACAAATACATGCATTAATAATTATTTTAAGTTAACACAACACACTTTTCATTCAAATTGCTTAGTGTTGATATTATACATTCACATGAAAAAATATCATATTAGAAATAAATGTTTTATACTTATAATTTACACCTTGATATATAATTGTAAGGTCTTGGGTCCGATTGGAAAGACATTTCCATAGCAATTGATATGTCATACTCAAAACCAATTTTACATGATAACATTGGTTTTTAAAAGATGAAATATTTTCAGTAAAAAAGCATTCAACCTAAAATAAAAAAGCTAATTGAATTCGTATTGTATTAAATTATCTATTAAACTTTAATACACTTACCTATTAAATTAATGATGTGTCCAAGAATGTAACGTCAAAATAAAGTCGAGAGCAAATATTATCAATTGATATATTAAAAAAATTATAAAATAACGAGTTATGACATAACTACAATAAGCATGCTATCATATTTACTATAAAGTAAAATGTAAATTTACTAACATTTTTTAATTAAGTTTGCAATTTCTCATTTCACTAATGGAAAACGTGTGAACTTCGAAGTCGAAATTTGTTAGCGATGAGGTTATGTACAAATAATAAATATAATGAGATTTTGTACAAATAATAAAATATATTATGGGTACTGGTCACTCGATTATTCCGTGGTAACTGATACATAGTTTAGATACTAGATTGTTATCCGAGATAACCAGCTAATGACTAGCTCCAGCTAGATTAGGTTAAAGTGTAAAGTCCGTTATCCGTAACAGTCTACCTTTCGTCTAATAATGTATGGTTATTTATTATATCTGATTATGATACGGAATGCGTTAACATCAAATTATTATTATATTTGATGTGATGACCGTCGTAATAAAACTACTTGTCTTTGTCGAACCGAATGAAATTATTAAGAAATATAGACAAAAATTCAAATCTTTACAAAGTCATAAACAGCGAACAAATGGATGAAAATTAAAAACTCAAACGCTAACATTTTTTTAGATTTTTTGTCTTTATATTTATGGAATTTAAAACATATGTTCCCATTTGAAAAAACGAGGTTCGTACTTATTTAACGTATAAGGGTTGAAGATAAAATTTTTCTAAATATTGAAAAATGTAGCTAAATATGTACCTAAAATTTTAGGGAAAAAAAAATTCGCAAAATATTCATACTTTCAGAGAAAATGAGTGTCTTACGTTAGTTGGATCACCCTGTATAATATTAAAATAATAACCAAGTCTGCACAAGGGTAGTTAATATAATAGTAACTTCTGAATCCATTTACATGGCGAGGTCTGTAAGTTTGTATAGTGAACTAACACAGTAAATTCATTTTTAGCAATTAAATAATAAATGTATGTTTAATAAACGGAATTGCTAATAATATAATATTGTAACTCTAATTATCGTGGTCTAAAAATTAAAATAGGGCAAGAATTCTTATTAGAAAATAATCTTAAAAAATAAATATTTTTGAAACGGTCAGACAAGACTCGTTTTAACTTATAATACATCAAAGTTCTATTGTAGAATTATAAAACGGCTCATTTGTTAAACCGTAGGTACAAGGACAGGATGTAGGGACAGGACCCAATCTAAATAATACACTAATTGACAGGCTCTTTATAGTATACAGGGTGTATCAGTCATCTAACAGATTTTTCATACAATTTATATGCGAAGCTGTCGGATCATTGTGATACACCTATATATATGCCTAGCCCATTGAACCATGTAAATTGAACCATCAAAAGGAACGACCGTCACAATAGTGTCTCTCTTAAGATCTAAATTGATTGTAATGCTCAAGTTATGCCAGCCAAAGCGGTCTTAATTGAGAGTGAAAAAAGTACTACTTTAATAGGATATACCTATTTAATGAATCCGAAATTGGCCTACTATTTTCATTAGCATGTACATTTTTGAACTACAATACACAAAATAAAAGTGTATTTGTGTATTGTAAAAAATTATTTGTGAAAAACAAAATTAAAATTTTTATTTTGGTTTAAAAAAAAAAAATTGTTAAAACTGTTAAGTAATTTTTAGATTAGTTCTAAACACAAATACTCTATTTGAAGTATATTTTAGATAATTATGCAACCGTATCGAACATGCTAAAAATAATACACAAAGCGGTTTATTTCACATTTTTAGAGGTTATTTGAAAAATAACTAAACGTGCTTGAAAAAATCTAAGGCCCGAATCAGATTTAGCAAAAAAAAAATAATAATAAATGAATGTACCCATTTTAATTCTTGCTCTATAAAATACCTAAGATAACCTCCTATAAACAATTTGATAGGGTAACACTACAGATTTTGTTTGAAGATAAAGTTTTTGTATTTGAAAGTTAAAATACTATTGCCTATTTGGAAAAACTACTTTTTATAGTCACTCCATGCCAAATCATCTAATGTGTGTGCGAGTGGATTTTCTAAATGACTCAAAATTTTATGTCCATAAATCGAACTTCTTTGGATTAGGGAAACACATTTTTTGCCTCGATAAGGACCTAACACCTGTAATTGTCGTGCAGTAATATTGTTTAAATAAAAGCACATTAATTTTAAAAAAAGAATAACACCTAAAGTTGAATGTGCGATGGATGACGTAGAAAAAAATTCAAATATAAATTCTGAACACATTATAAAATACATAAAATTTTACTTCACTGCTCAAATAATTTAGTTTATATCAAAATAGGAAGAAAACTAAGAATTGAGAGGATGAATTTTTAGTGATGTGAAAAATAGATTATGTTAACGATACTTCTGTCTCGCTCGTATCAGTTGCAGGTTCGTAGTCATCGTTGGCAAAATATTTGGAATGTTGCTGTTCTAGGTACCTGAAAACAAATATTTTAACAAAGACATTTTATAGAAAGGTTGTCAGAAAACAGTGTTGATGTTTCATAACATAAGAATAAAATTATATTTTAGACCCAAATGTTTTTTTTTGAAAAAATAACTAAACAATTTACCATCAAACTATAGTCGATACCTACGTACACGACTGCTCAATTTGAATTGCTCGTCGATTGTTGACTAAAGTTGAGATTGAAACAAATGTGGCTTTTTTACGGATCAGTTTTTAAAAATGTAAGCTACTTCACATTGTTGCTTCAACCCTACCACCATTTATCTTATTTATCTAACTCTGTACTATACATCCTCAACGCATTCTGTTGTTTACACCTTGCATAAAGCGATGAATCTATTGCAGAAGTTATCTTTGCTAATAAATCATATCTCTAATTATCTCAACATATTCTGTCTAATTCCTACTGAATCGCATGGCCCTCTACGATAAAACACGAGTTATCACTCACTTAACCTTCTCACTTAGCCTAGGGTGACCATACGTCTCGTTAAAAATGGGATTGTCCCTTTTTGGAGCTAAATATTCCCTTGTCCCACTAACTGACTTTCGACTGGACGCTTTTTGTCCGGTTCTTAGAATATGGTTAGGTTCTCTCTTTATCAGCTATCTTATCAAAATATTAATAAAAATAGAGCAATAATTATTAATTTTGATTTAGATTTCGAAAGTGTGGAGAAAGTAGTGGAATTAAACGCTAACTATTTTTAAATAACTATTCAAAAAAAGATTTTAAAATAACTAAAATAGAATTTTGGGTAGAAAAAAATATGACTTTTTCTATGAGAAAAAAAAGAAAATTTCTAATTCTTGCCACTCATTTTTACAAAAAAAAAAATAAAGATGTACTTATTGAACTGTATAAAAAAAAAATGAAACTTGAAAGTTAGTCAGTGAACTATTAATACAAAACAAGAAATTAAAACGATTTTTTTATTAATAAATTAAAGTAATTTAAAATAATAATACTTATTATCAAAATATTATTTATAATAATAAAAATTGTTATTATCAAAAGGTGCAAAAAGTAATTTTCAATTTTTTATTGAAGCTCTTTCTTTAGAAGTTTGGACAAAATAGTGTTCCGTTTTTTTTTTTATTATTAAAAATGATAGCCATAGATGAACCAGCAAGTTCATTTGATTATTATTTTATATAAACCATAATAAATATAATAGTTTAACTAAATGGATCGTTAAATTAAAAAAAAAAATTTAATTCTTACTTGAAAAAATCATTTATGCTATCAGCAATGGAAGAGAGCTGGTTGTCTTCGGTCACAAACTTTGGTCTTAGAAATTTTTTCAAATTAACTGAAAAATTGATTAAAATCCATTAATATGTCATCAAGTATCGAATACTAAAATACACATAGGTATATGTATAAAAAATATAATTAGGACACTACAAAAACACTAAAAAATTATGTTTATTAGGATAGCACTTCGTGTAAGACCATATAAAATGTTATTATCAATGTTTGGAAAAACACTTCAAAAACGGTTGAGTGTAAGGAAGGTGTTCTTTTTCACTAAATGAGCTCCTGAACGCGTTTATAAGGAATTAATAAAACATCATTTCGCTAACATCAAAGTCAATATTTCATACGTACCACATAGCCTTAGTAAATAAATGGGTCCATAAACTGTACACCACAAGTCTTCCGAATAAATGTTTTTATATTTGAATTGTAAACTGTCAAGTCTTATTTTTTCTGATAACAGAGCAACAGCCTAAAAGAAAAATATTGGTAAAGTTATTAAATAAAAATTCTCATTACATAAAATCTCATCAACGAAAAATAATTTACTTTATTGTGCACTTCATTATTACGTTCTTTCGCATATAGCAGCGTCTGTATTCGTGAATTAAAATATTGAATAAAAGTCGATCCAACACACAAAGCTCTTTCCCTAAAAATATCTTATTATATTTTCGACACTATTATACTATTAACTTTGTAAGAAAAACAATAATTACCTAACAAATATTGTTGATTTTTGTTTGGAACCGATATAACCATCAATGAGATGCATAACAGTGAATTTGGATGGAAACTTTAATTGCTAAAATATTTTACACACCATTATTAGGCAAACAATTTATTAACAAAGTGACCAAATATTATTAAAATGTTTAAAACACCTTGCTAAATACCTTGTTAAAAACGTTTATCATATTATAGTCGTAGGACAATCGCCGTTTCAGAATTGTAGGCACATCAAATTTTAGTTGTTTATCGTATGGAGGCTAGAAAAATTAATAGTTTTGTTGCAGACAATGTCAAAATCAAAATAAATAACTGTTTGGCTCTATACGTACATCCGTTCAACACATACATCAATTATCAGCCATAACAATGTTCTAAAGATTATAATAACAATTTTCTGTTAAACAAAATATTTATTAAGATAATAATTTAATTATAAAAAGGTATATTACCAATAACTCTTGTATGGCAGGTAAGTTATTAATGTTATTTTCTATTAGACCAACAGTTCTGAATGCAACCTGACACACTGCTTATTGTTAGCTAAATATATATATGCCTTTGGTGTCACTCTTAGGATCTTTTTGGAATAGCTTGAAGGTATGTCCAACATTTTGGTACCCTTTGACAGTTATGTTTGTCGTTAAAAAAAGTAATTGTTTTAATGTAAAATATAGTGGCAGACCTCTTCGACACACTGCATATTGCTAAAATATTATAATATAGGTATTGACTATTATTATACTAAAAATGTACATTTTTACTCATTATTTGTTATTAAACAAACAAGCTTAAGTTAACAATGAACCAGGACCAATTTTATTGTAACCTATAGCATAGGGTTACAAGATTTGTGTGTTCAAGAAGATCGACTAAGTAATTGTAACTAATGGATGGAGTAACTAGCTCAGAATGATGTTAGGAGATAACAATTAAAAAATTATTCCTTGATTAAGCAATGTCAAAGTTCAGCTTTTAGAAGTTTTTAACATTTAATTTAAAAATTGGTTCCAGACTGTTAGGACAGTATTTTTAGCCTAAACAGTATTTGGACTGCTATTCTGCAACTAATCGGTAAAATAACATTATATTTAGAATTATATAAAATTATAACACAATTGATTTTTAGAATGAGTTTAATTTGTGCATGAAGTCTGTAAGTGAATATAATTTCTAAAAAACTGGAAATCATAATGTGTACACAGTCTCTACTCTTCATTGAGTTCACAATTTAGGGTTCCTTAATGATATATGTATACTTATATTATCGGTGTTTTAACTTGCAAAAATAGGGTTCAAGGTAACTAGTATCAATTGTAGATACAACACATTCAGTAAGATTTATTATTATTCATACTTAATTACTCATTATTTTTTAAAAACTGTTGCAAGCTGCCAATATGTATGACATAAACTATGCAAGGTTTCAGTTAATGAGTATTTTAGTTTTCACGGTTATTACAGACTATAATTATTACTGAATTCTACAAATAAACCACTTGTAATTTATTGTGGGGATGTAGGCACAACGGTGACAGGCCGGTGTCCAGTGGACAAACAGTTTTTTAATAAGTTAAATCATTGCAATTTTATATCTTTAATTTTAGCTATTATCAATTAAAGAATGCTAGAAAACTAGTACAAGAAAAAAAATCAAAAAGTAATATTTAAAAAAAATGGTTAAAAAAATAATTTTGGTTTGACCTATTGTATTTTTTGCATTTTTTAAATAATTTGTTTATACATTTTTTTTTTTAAATATTTACAATCTGTATTTATATATACCATAAGTAAAATTTAGGGCTAATTATTTACAAAGCTGTAAGTGATATGTATGACATGAGGTACCTTCTCAAACAACTAAAGTTGGATGCAATTTGAGTCCAGACATAATTAGTATTACTCAAATTTTTCGGCGTTCTGAAAAAAAAAAATTGTAAGTATGCCACTTCATCTTTTAACAATTTTTTTTTTTCGTAAATACTAAATTGATGTTTACAATTTGATTGTATGTAAAACATTTTATTGTACATTGATATACTTGTAAAGCTAACATTGATTGAGTAAATTTCAATATCGTTTGTGAATATTATTTTAGAAACCGAATACCAAATACTTTTATTTAAAATACAGAACCTGTTTGAAATATTTAATGACGATTGTTTCGAAACATGTTCTGGTTATCCTTACTTGATTAATTTAAAAAACAATAACACCTACTTAATGTTATCTATTCTTTAATAAACATGTAAAAGAAGTAAATATTTGGTTTAATCACCTGGATCGTCTTTACAAACAATTTGTCTCAATTGTTATAGTATCCTTGTGAATTTTGCAATCTTTAAAAATATTTAATGTGAATCTGTTTTATAATTTTCTATTTTAATTAGATTAGTTAATTAAATACAATTATAAGACATATTATTTTTACTCAATATATATTTTTGACATAACACACCGAATGAGTATAATAACTTTATATTTATAATTCGATAAAATTATAATAAAATTGATTTTTTGAATGAGTGCAAAAGACTCGTGCATATAGTTTAATAGTGAATATAATTTCTAAAAAAAATTTAGGTGATATGTGCGACTTCAGGTACCCTCTCAAACAACTAAATTTGGGTGCAATTCGAGTACAGGCATAATTAGCATTACTCAATTTTTTCGGCGTTCTGAAAAAAAAAAAACAAAAATTGTTCAGTAAATAACCGAAAGATGAAGTGTCATCACGAAGCTATATTATTAATCAGCTGTATAAAATAAAGGTGCATAAACGGTATTTTTAAACCCCCTTTTCTTCTTCTATTTTGATTTTTAAAATGTTTACAATTTTAAATAATTACTAAAATTCGTTAATTTTTTTTTTTAATTCACAAATGATTTTGAAGTAGTTAACCGCCTGAAGAACTTAAGGATAGGGAAATAATTGTAAAACGTCAAATAAAATGGACAGTTACAGCTAAAACGAAAAGAAAACCTAAAACCTTTACTTACATCTATTATTGCTTTTTCTGTATTTATCCGCTACGGCAGACTAGTGCTCACATAAATAAACTGTTTCACGCTGAAGGTTTGAGGGTTCCGACTTGCTGTAGTCGTCCAATAAGTTTGGCTGAAAAAAGGTGATTGTAAAAAACATATATGAGTTTATATAATTTATAGAATCTGATAGTTTTCTGATGTTTGACAGAACGAGACTCGAGCGTAAAAAAAAGTATACCTTTTTAACGGCTTTGACGAGGAATTTGCACCTGAGGCCATTACCGGTGACTAAAGTGTTCGTCCGGTTCATTTTTGTATAGGACCAAGCCGTGTCATTTAAAAAATGTAACTTGTTACCGCGATGTTTGTATTTTTTTCCATAGTCGCTTGTTGTTGTCTCAAATGAGTTCGATTCACTTGCAGGTTCGGTGCTGTAAACCGACAATTATTTAATCAAGATTAGTGATTACCATCGGCGCACGAATATTGTAGTCGAACCTGAGCATTATATTAACAAATAGATGTTCAAGTAATAATTTCAAACAACTTGTTATTTAAATAAAAATTGCCCAGGTTCAATCCTAGGGGATTAGCTTAAATAACAGGTATGGAAATGACAATTAAAATAAAAAATTGTCTAATAAATAATCGTCAATTTTCAATATAAATTGAAATAATAAAATAGCCAGCATTGTGGAATCGAAGTCACGGATTTTTCGCAATTATCTTTACGGAAAGTTAAATTTTTCTTGATCAACAAATAATTATCACCAAAACAGGAAGATATTATTTGAACATGGTAATTATTTAATATTCCTTAAGTAACTTAATGCGTTACTATTTCACTCATTAGTGAAATACTACTAACGATATGTAAAGTTTATCTATAACATACTCACACTTTATATGCATATCTACGAAACAGATACATCGGTGGTACAGGCCAGACGATCCAACCAAAATCACCCTGATGTACCCAACGACCATGTGACGAATTTCTGGTCGATAACCGTGGTCTGTTAAGGCACAGGAACAACTTTCCTTCCACGATATTTTCATCGATCTTCAACTTGTTGGTTAAATACATTCGTGTACCATTTGCTTGCAACTAAAAATCATTAAAGGTATTACAATTAATATTCATATATATATATATATATTGATAAATGATAGGGCAAAGGCAACTGACGAGATCTGAGGGCCTAATATCATATACAAATGTTATATTTTCTTTTTTAACAATAAGACGTCAATTATAATCCTACATAATATAATATGAATTATAAAAAATGTTTTTGACTTTTAGCGACTTTTTAGAATTAATTTTTGATTTTTTTTTTTTAACTACATATTGAGATAACTAAATCTATCGAAATTCATATTGAAAAATAAAACGTAACGCACAAGCACAGCATTTTTACGTTTAACAGTACGACCAAGTGTTTAAAGCGTATACCAACGTATTTTATCAATACAACTGTCATCTAAACTAGACCTAACGAAACTACTGACTAAAAAATATTATGACACGTTTTTATATCTATATGAACGAACAGAATATATCAGTATTAAACTAACTGTAATTGTTTTGTTTAAAGTAATGCTCCACGGGTACGATGGTATTTAAAAAATGTACAAGCCGATATTAATCATATTCGAAGTATTGAAAACATAAATGTCAGACTTACTATTTCAAACGAGTTTCTCTCGGAGTCGGCATACTTATATTGTTGATCTGTGAAGCATAATGATCCACGCCCCTTAAAAGCTGAAGTCGTACGCACCATTACATCTTTCGTGAGACCTACGCCTTCTACTAACAATGTAATTTCGACGTATTGGTTGTTATCGACGATGGTAAAGTTGACAACGTTTGCTGATAACACGGCATAAACATGGTCGTCGTGAGTATATTCGTGTTGAAGCCCAGATCCACCCGTGGCGGTACCAATGTCCAACCAAAGCGATAGCAGTGCAACCGATAAGACAATATAGATTTTGAACATGGCGACGTTGTCGAATACACACAAACGAAACCGTTTTTATGATGGGAAATTCACTAAAAGTGTGCAAAAGAAATTCGCGACCGAACGAATAAAGCCTTCGTGATCGAATGACGATTGCCAGAGCTGGTGTGTGACACAAACCTCAGCCGACCCCTCTAGTAATAATTGTTTGGCAGGCAAAGTTGTCCCGGCAATTATTGCCGTTTATTAATCCTCCCGCGAGAAACGCTAGTATTCATCGACCCTTTAATTTATCAACGGGTTCCCTTTGTTGGTATATCCGTTTGACCTCGTTTCCAGACCGGGACAATTAATACAAATTGAGCAGTGTGCATAAGCTATAATAATCTTTATTGTGATTTCTA